ATTTACAGTGCAGTGCAAATGAAGGCATAAAACATTAATTTAATTGATCTTTTAATCAAATGAGAGTTAAACTCAATTTTTGGCAAACAAAGGGGTTGACTATTAAAATTAAAACATGGAAGAAATAGCGTATTGTGTGATTATTCTTTTAAACAAAAGTTGTAATAATTGTTGTAGTAGTAGTAGCTAAACCAAACTTTTGTTTTGACGGGTTGCCATGAGGACCTTTTAAGTTTCTGTAGCCTATGTATAATGATATGACGATAGTTTTACTCAAATTAAACGGTCAAATGCTCATGAAGTAACTCTCAAAGTAGTTCTGGGGATGTTGTTCATGTATTTATGTCCTCATTTAGTGAGACGGCAGATGCTGAAAATACCGCGAGCATCACACACTTCAGTATGTGTGTAGTAAACAAAACCGCGCGTCTGTGCCATTCACATATACAGAGACATGTAGAACATGCAGGATTCATATTTAAATAGTCTTTTTGCGGCTTAATATTTACAGATACTAGTCCATAACGCGAGTGGATTTAAGTGTACTGACCTACTTATGATTAATTCATCCAAATTCCGTGACATTCCGCGTTATACAGTAAATTCCATTCCGCTATTCCATCCGCGTTTTCCCCATCGCAGAAACCATAAATAGATAATATTGAGGTGTTTTGCAACTTCAGTGTAGTGGATTGTGATTTATTGCAACTTCAGCAACGTCTGCTGCTGCCTTAGAGAGACAACTGATGCGTGATCACTGAAGCAGCTCCAGTTAGCAAGCGCTTTTGGTGTGAGAGTGCAAAACTTTCAGTGCCTTTAGCCTTCCACTTGATTGGTCGGACTCGTGACTCTCAACAAATCAGATGAGCGGTGGGCGGAGATTGCGCTAGGCCACAGAGTGGTGAGTAGCCAAATAGCGTGTTTCAAAATGAAATTATTTTATCGGCAAATTGGTTTTGAAAATGACCAATACCGATAATCATAAAAATGCTTAATATCAGTGCTGATAATCGGTCGACCCCTACATCAAAGTACCGCGAGAGCTATAAGAGAGCGGACGTCTCCTTACACCGTGTCTACACCGGACGCGACAGTTGTCGTGTCGCGCCGCAACATCATCTAAAGTCAACACTGGACGTGACAAAGCGACCGTTGAAAATCATTTAAAATTTTTGTCAGTACGTCATAAATAGAATGCAGCAGCAGTTTACTGTCGGGGATTTGTCGCGCCGCACCGCATCCAGTGTAGACACGTAGGCTTTCTCTCGCCGTACTTTGATGTCATATACACTGATCGATCTTCAAGTCGAACACACCTCTTTACTCTCGCGTGTCACGTGACAGTGTAATCGCAGCCTCTGCGGTTGAAAAATCACATTTTTTCATATCGTGATATTATCGCAAATACAATTAATCGTTCAGCCCTACTTTTAAAGCTCTTTGTGTGTACACATGCGTGTGTTTTTCTTTTATAGTGTACTTCCCGATAACTTCAGATAGTTTTCTGTCCCATAACTTCATGATAACCATATTTCTGCTTAAGAACCAAGTTTGTTTGTTTGTTTGTTTTTAACATTTATTGTAAACTATTGAGTTATAATTATATATTTAATTGTATTTATTTATTTATTTTTAATATATTATAAATAAATACATGTTTAAAAATAATCTAATAAATAGAATAATAAATATTTATATTTCATTGAATTTATTATTTGTTTTAACATGTATATATTATTTATTTATTTTAAACTATTTCAATTATTAGAATAAATTATTGAATTAAATAGTGAATAGTTATTAGAAACTATTTAATTCTAATTATATATTTGATTTTATTATTTATTTATTTTAATATATTTTTATTATAAATATATTAAATATTTAATATATATATTTTCTTAATTATAAATATTTGTAATTCTGTAATATATCCTAAATAAAAAAATAAAAAAATAAATATAATTCTATTTTTTTTATTATTGGTTTTAGCATGTATTTATTTATTTATTTTATATAATTATGAATTTTAATTGTAAATTTTTTATGAAAAATACTAATATTTTTTTTTATTATTTTTTATTTATTTTCTGTATATGGTTAGTGTTGCTCGCATATGCAGACCTTGTTGCTAAGAAGTTCAGACTGGTTTTTAGCAGTTTGTAGTGGATGGTTACTAGGGTATTTTGGTTACTTTTTATGGTGGTTTCTTACTGTCCCAATTCAAAAGAGGCCACTTTCAAGTCTCAGTGATATTCTGGTCTCTAGATATGCCTCATTGTGTAAGAAACTTTGTCATTTCTGTCAATTTCTTTTCTTTTTTAAATGTAACTGGTGGCTAATACCAAGCTAGCACAGTTTTAATAACAATAACTGGAGTAACTATGTCATATAAGTTATGGTGATTTGTTTTTGTAAAGGTGTTTTCTCTCACTCTCTCTCAAACTGGGCTGCTGCTCTTAACTGGCATGTGGCCGAGAAAATTGCTTTATCTCTTCCTATGATTGGCTCACCGCGAGTCATGCAATACTTCAGAGAAACAGGAAATGACCTCGCCGTTCACTTTCCACCTTCTCAGTCTCTGTTAAACTATACGTCACAGCTCTTAGCTTCAGCTGTGATGTGCTATTTGGATTGGTTTTTCTCAACCTGGACTGAAACTTCAGATTGTGAAGGGCTGCTTTGTGTGTGTTTGTTTATGTAAGAAAGAGCCCAGTGTGTGTGTCAGTGAGGTGTGTGTTAGGCCAGGAATGTGTGTGACAATGTTTTATTTGCTCGGATCGACAGTATTCTACAGACTTCAGTGCATTTCTGGCATTTTTAGGAGTGTGAAGGATTTATTCAGCTGGTCAGAGTCTAATAGAGAATGAGTGAGAAACAGAGCGAGGGCGAGTGACATAGAGAGATAAAGTGGAGGATGGGCTGCGTTCCAATTTTACTCATGCTGTCTGGCCTAAATAGTATGCAAGATTAGTACAATTCCAGTGAATTGCGCATTTTCTGTATGCATGGAGTACTTGGATAATCTACTTCATCTGCCAAAATATGCAGTATGCAGTATAATGTGCATTGAATATTGAGTCTCATATTGTGATGTACCCAACTTAATCAGTTTTTACATGAAACTGGATCCAAAATGCAAAATATGTTTATTTCTGAGAGGATAACCACCAGACATTGCTAGCTGAAGTAAACAGATGTCATGTGATAGCCTCATGATGAGTTCATGTGCTGATAATGTGGCATGATATAGTTTGAACTGCTTATTGTTGCAGAATGCATTCCATTCCACATGCTATTTTAAAAGAAATATTAAGAATTATACAATATATGGATGATTCTTCAGTTAGGGGAACTTTTCTGTCCCATAAGATGATTAAAAAATGCAATCTTTCTAGTTTTAAAGGATACATTTAAAGGATAAATTATATTAGCTTTATTTATTTTTTTTTATTTTTTTTAGCTTTATTTGCTTTTTCAGTTTAAGTTTATTATTTTTTGCTTTTTTCATAGTTTAAAATTTAATTTTGCCATAATTTCAGTACCCAGACTTTTTAACCTTAAATTTATAAAAGATTTAAAACCAGGAAAATTCTTCTTTGCACCTTTTCCTAAATTCATTAGATATGTATTTGTATTTATATGTTTAATGTGTAACTTTATTAGGTGGTTTATTTTATAATTTTTAGAGATAGTAATATAAAAACTTGAGTCAATCAATTATTTAATTAATTAAAATAACTATATATATATATATATATATATATTGTGTGTGTATATATGCATGTATATATACAGTAGTCAACATTTGAAGTGGATCAAAAAAGTTCATCAAAGTTGTCCTAAGACAAGAACACATTTTGGTTTTAGTTTTTAGGACAACTTTGATCCACTTCAAATGTTGACTAGTGCATACATTCACACACACCCACCCACACACACACACACACTCTCTCTCTCTCTCTCTCTCTCTCTCTCTCTCTATACAAACTGTCTGCAAGGTAAATGTTTGTGTTTGCAAGTCCAACTCTTGTCCAAAAGAGTTCTTTTCTTTTTTATTTCAGGTAGTCAAAAACACCTCTAATTCAGTTCTGTTCAGTTTTTGTGAAGAGTTAAAGGTGCTGTGAAAGGATCTAATCACAGACTCGTTTGCTGAAGAGTCCTTTAAGAAGGTCTTTCTAAGCTGTTCTGTGGTTTTGTGTGTTGCAGGTGGGTACTGAGTATCGTGCCCTCTCTTGCGTCTGCCGCTGCTTGGACCTGCTTATAGTACCAGCCTCAGCTTTCCTGCCTGCTTGCTGCCCACATCAGTGAAAGGACTGCCCGCACAACCCCACAATCCCTGTGACCCCGAACGACCCCTACACAAACACACAGAGCTGAAGTGGGCACTATTGAATCAGCCAATCAGATTCAAGGATTTTTGCTTTGGGATCCATTACTGCAGTTCTCTTTTTCCTAGCAGCAACATTGTTTTGTCCTTTTTGCTTTGGCCTGGTGTGCATCCACAAGGAAAGAGGAGCTTAATGATCTAAGAAGGAGAGGAACATTCTTAAAAGGACAAACACAAGCACACCCAAAGCACTTTGGGATATTAAGGAATTGAAGTTTGCTTGCCGCTAAAGCGTGTTGAGATGGCGATGAACATGGCTCACATGCGGGACACGAAATGGCTGACGCTGGAGGTGTGTCGGGAGTTTCAGCGTGGAACGTGCACTCGCTCTGATGCTGAGTGCAAGTTTGCACATCCCGCCAAGAGCTGCCAGGTGGAGAACGGGAGAGTCATCGCGTGCTTTGACTCACTGAAGGTAAGAAACACCTCAAACTTTGACACCTCAGCCGTTTGCAGGTATTTCAGGTATCTAGATGTATGCCAACAAAATGTAGTTTCAATTTCTGGCGGAAATCTGTCTGTCTGATCTTTCTTAACTGAGTATGTCCACTTTTGGTCACATGATTCTATTTATTATTATTATTAGTTTTTCTTTTTTGTATTTTATTTATTATAATTGTATTATATATATATATATATATATATATATACACATATACATACATACATACATAC